GTCCATGATTCGAAGCCGACTTGTTGCGCATGACATGCCTGCAATGATCCCCTGTCTTGACGCTTGGTTTCAGCCTGCGCAGCCGCGGGTTTGGGGAATACAGGAGACAAACGGGAGACCATGATGTCCGACGAGCGTCACAGCATCCCGGGTCTGCCCACTTTACACAGGACACATGAGAGACAACAGTTCCAGCTCCCAGACGGGCGTCTCAGCAGCCAACGTCGAGACAATGGGAGACACACGGGAGACAAAAGGTCTATTCGAGACAATTGAGACAGCGTTGTTCCCCACCCTCGGTGTGGGGTTGTTAGATTTTAAACGCCCGGAACTGTTCTCCTCGCCCGAGTGCCCAACCCCAGAGTGTCCCTGGAGTGCCCAGCCCCAGAATTTCCCTAAAGTGCCCAACCCCAGAGTCAAAACCCCAGTGTCCCCGGAGTGCCCTCCCCGGAGCGCCCAACCTCAGAGTGTCCCTGGAGTGCCCAACCCCAGAGTATCTCTAGGAAAAAAAGGGGGTGGGGATGTTCGACGTAAAATAATTTAAATGCTGCGAAAAATCACAAGTGCAGTGTCCTATCTTCGATCTCAAGCTGGAAAAGCCGATGCTGCAGCTGCACGTGTATGCTCCTCTTTTCACGCATCTGCCCCTTTCAAGGCCGTGCACGCGGAGACTTGAGCAATGCTAGGTCCGTAGAGCCTTCTTTTGTTGGAAGGCCTACTACCAGACATTCGCCAAAGCTTCAACCACTAGAGGATCCTAGGTTCAGAGACTAGACGATTTCCCCTGTTGAGCGCAGTCTGCAGCAACTGCTCTGTGGGCAGGCAAGCTGGCGAGACTCCCAAAGAATACGCTAATTTACAAGCTGCATGCATTCATCATGTTGTGTGTCCGTGCATGGTGGCACCAGCCAATTCTCCTTCTGCCTCGTGCTCGATATCATCGGCCTCGAAGAAGACCTGGAATCTGGAAGGAAAGCGCATTGGCATTTCTGATTCTACACAAGCAACTTGAGGTATACTGCTCCAAAAAATCCGCCGCAACCTGCGACAGAGCAGTTTCACGCGCGGCTGCCGACCAACAAAAACCTCCCAGCGAGCGGCCAAAGTGCTTTCATCCGGCCTTGGGGTTGGCGAAGGTGTGACAACGGCAAAGCGACAAGATGTTACCAATCAAGGTGACATCAGGTGGCATCCAGATCCCCAGCACGGACGGGCGAGCAAGCTTTTTAGTCCTAACCGTCACGTGCAACTGTCTGAAGGTTTCAACAAGACACGGGCAACTCATCTCCAACAACAGCGATCCGATACATAGCAATACATAGCAATACCTGCATCCAAAAACCGAAGCTCTCAGGCTCGAGAAGCCACAAGGCCATACGTCAACAAGAAACCACACTACCGCTGTGCTCCATCTCAGAGGATCCAGTCGCCTAGGCAGAGATCTGCCTCCAAGACTCCCAGTGCGGGTTGTTCTGCTTTGACATCTGCTTCAGCTTGTCCTTGACGGTCACGGTGCTGCCAGCCGGCTTGGCGCGCTCCCACGCCTCCTCCAGGCCCTTCTCCTCAGCTGTTAGCAGCAGTGCACACACCCCTGTGAACACCTAGCGGACCTAGCGCATGGCCAAGTTTTAGCACTGTCAATACACAGTCGGTGCTGCAAGTAAGACATCAAGGCATGTCGGATGTGCAATCATGTCCACGGCAGTCCAGTGCTGATCCAAGTCTCGTAGTCGTCAGGGTTGATCAGTCCGTCGAGAGGGTCCTTCGAGTTGGCGAAGAGCGGATGTTCCCTCCAAGCTTCTTCGAGCTCCTTAGCCCGCTTGGTGCCTGGGACCACTCGCCAGAAGGCATCCTCCTGAAAAGAATACAGGACGAACATGCCCATGGCAACGGCAGGGAAGACCAGGGTGGTCAAAGGCACCAGCACTGCCGCGAACTTGCGCTGATCTCCGTACTTCGCCTCCGCGTCGTCAGCGAGCATCGTCAGGGCCGGCAGAGCCGCAGAAGCGGCCACAGCCGGATTGAAGTCGCTGCCTCGAGCCTGTGGCTGCTGCTCCGGGCTCGGCACGAAGCAATAGCGGAGGCCAAGGAGCAAAGCCGCCGCAACCAGCAGAAGGCGTCCGGGTCGCGCCATAGCAACAGAGCAGCAGACTGCTAGCTAGCTGAACTAGGATGGAGGCACAGCGGCTACAATGACAACACCGCAGCCACAAGCGCATGAACATGCATGGGGTTCTCTCCACTCTGCAAATCCCATGCCAGTAGATCCGAGTGGCAGAATCTCTTCCACCTCGCCCTGGCGAGGCCAGCACACCGTCAATGCTGCGTCTAGTGCCTTTCATCGTGTATCAGGTGCACTGAAACCACAACCTTCAATGAAGGCCCTGCGTTGGCAACTGACTAAACGCAATGCATTGGCATGCAACCTTTTTGTGGTGTGCGAGACTACCGACCACGGCGGCTTTATTTGGGCGTGGCTTATGCACGAAGAGCCAGTGAGGTGCATGCCTTGAGTCATCCGTTGTTTTGCGGCATGATGCGCTCACCGGCCTTACTGCCTCAGACGAAGTAAGCGCTCAAATGATCCCTATGCGTCCCTCGGACATTGACACTGCATGCTGCAGGGGTGCGAAAAAGTTCTGCCCACTGGATTAATTTTGGCATAGGTTGTCAAGGTTCAGAAGTCACAAGCACGACCAGAGACGAGAGCGGTTCCAGCAGCAAGCTGTCAAACGGGCCATGGCAACAGAATTGGGACACCCTCCACAAAGAGCACACAATCTTTGCCTTCCAGCACTGGCAACCAAAAGGTTCTGCACCATGTACAGGTCTCAGTCTTTGTCTTCCTCAATATGCGAAATTTCGGTGGTGTTGCTGCACATGGTTCTTGCTTTGAGCAAAGCTTGGACGCGACACTGCATGACGTCCATCATGTTCTGCACAAGTACAACCAAAAATGCTGCTGCAATGAAATTGGTCTTACTACCTTGCCGTTTTGCTGTCTTCGTCGCCGGTTCGATCTTGATCGCCGTCGTCTTGGCAGGTCCTGCAAATGTGTTTTCAAATCCAAGTTAGCGGAGACACCTCGGCATCTCAAGTTCAGAACAATGAGCAAATCAAAACTTAGAAGCAAAAAGGGTCTGTCCACGTGTGGAGCACTTCCTTCCCAGTACCTCATAATAAGCGCCAGGGAGAGGGCTGCGGGCAGGTGGCTCGGTTGGGCAACTGCGGCTGCCTTTTTTAACTGCAAGAAGACTGCATCTCCCTGAGCCCTGCGCCGCAATTTGTAACTTATCATGGTAGTTCTCAAGTGATGTAAGAAGCTCGGCCTGAACCTTCTACTTGATACTTGGACGCGGTACTTTTACAAGCATTCAAGAGTGGGGCATGCTCGGGAACGGGGCCTTAGGTGCCAAGCTTGAGGCCTAGGGGCTCTGCATTCGACAACTCGTTACATCCGAAATGAGCCAAGGTGCATGCCTCCATAGCTTAATTTTTTCAAAAGCCACAACCCTTCTCAACCAGGTGCTAGGAGTCTCGGAGGCCCCCCCATTGATGCTCAAAGCGCCGACTTGGATGCAATGAACTGTTGGACCGGTAGTCTTGATTGACCACCAAAAAAGCCTTGGTCACCTTTGGTCTTCATGGAGGCCTCTGGGCATATGCATATGGGAAGACAGTGGCGGGGCAAGTATCAGAACCAGGTGGAAGATATTTACAAGGGATGTGGAGCTTGAGTGCCGCGTGTGGCCAGCTGGAACCAAGTGGCCAGCAGGTGAAGGCGCAACGATAACCATCTGGAAAGATACCCGTGCTTCTGTTCTGCGTGACCTGCCCGATGCCCGCCACACAACGCGGCAGCATCGTAGTTCCATCGTGCTACTTCTGACCAAAGGCCATTTTCCAGCCTCGTGCTCGATGGCATCGGCCTCGAAGAGGACCTGGAATCTGGAAGGAAAGCGCATTGGCATTTCTGATTCTACACAAGCAACTTGAGGTATACCGCTCCAAAAAATCCGCCGCAACCTGCGACAGAGCAGTTTCACGCGCGGCTGCCGACCAACAAAAACCTCCCAGCGAGCGGCCAAAGTGTCTTCGTCCGGCCTTGGGGTTGGCGAAGGTGTGACAACGGCAAAGCGACAAGATGTTACCAATCAAGGTGACATCAGGTGGCATCCAGATCCCCAGCACGGACGGGCGAGCAAGCTTTTTAGTCCTAACCGTCACGTGCAACTGTCTCAAGGTTTCAACAAGACACGGGCAACGCATCTGCAACAACAGCGTACATAGCAATACCTGCATCCAAAAACCGAAGCTCTCAGGCTCGAGAAGCCACAAGGCCATACGTCAACAAGAAACCACACTACCGCTGTGCTCCATCTCAGAGGATCCAGTCGCCTAGGCAGAGATCTGCCTCCAAGACTCCCAGTGCGGGTTGTTCTGCTTTGACATCTGCTTCAGCTTGTCCTTGACGGTCACGGTGCTGCCAGCCGGCTTGGCGCGCTCCCACGCCTCCTCCAGGCCCTTCTCCTCAGCTGTTAGCAGCAGTGCACACACCCCTGTGAACACCTAGCGGACCTAGCGCATGGCCAAGTTTTAGCACTGTCAATACACGGTCTGTACTGCAAGTAAGACATCAAGGCATGTCGGATGTACAATCATGTCCACGGCAGTCCAGTGCTGATCCAAGTCTCGTAGTCGTCAGGGTTGATCAGTCCGTCGAGAGGGTCCTTCGAGTTGGCGAAGAGCGGATGTTCCCTCCAAGCTTCTTCGAGCTCCTTAGCCCGCTTGGTGCCTGGGACCACTCGCCAGAAGGCATCCTCCTGAAAAGAATACAGGACGAACATGCCCATGGCAACGGCAGGGAAGACCAGGGTGGTCAAAGGCACCAGCACTGCCGCGAACTTGCGCTGATCTCCGTACTTCGCCTCCGCGTCGTCAGCGAGCATCGTCAGGGCCGGCAGAGCCGCAGAAGCGGCCACAGCCGGATTGAAGTCGCTGCCTCGAGCCTGTGGCTGCTGCTCCGGGCTCGGCACGAAGCAATAGCGGAGGCCAAGGAGCAAAGCCGCCGCCACCAGCAGAAGGCGTCCGGGTCGCGCCATAGCAACAGAGCAGCAGACTGCTAGCTAGCTGAACTAGGATGGAGGCACAGCGGCTACAATGACAACACCGCAGCCACAAGCGCATGAACATGCATGGGGTTCTCTCCACTCTGCAAATCCCATGCCAGTAGATCCGAGTGGCAGAATCTCTTCCACCTCGCCCTGGCGAGGCCAGCATCGCAGCAAGGCACCATCTTTGCGCTGCCAACCTCTGCGTCCGCAATGTACTGCATAGCACGTCCAGCTGGACAAGACTATGACTTCACACTGCCACAGTACTGCATGGTGCGACTCCGATGAATTGCTGCGAATGCCGTGAAGGTCATTCATCGGCCTGCGTTCACGTAATACCTCAGATCTTGGGCAAATATTGGAAGGTCCGAGTGGGACGTAGACATCTATGTGCTCTGCACAGTCTGACGGCTCCTGATTCGAAAATGGTAGACAGTCATTGCTGCATTGTTGATGCACGATGCGTGCAACTAATATCCAGAGATCAAACACGTCTATTGCCGAGCCCAGCCATCTGTCTGGACTGGTACGCATCTGTAGACGACTGATCCTATCAAACTGTGCTCTGAGGCACACTGCGGAGATGCGCCTGCCATCATGACAAGGATTGTCGAGGTGCCGTCGAAATTGAGCCCCACAGTCTGCATGACAGGAGCGAACTTCCAGGGCCACACAAGGTGGACAGCTGGCCTGGAGGGTAGACGCTCGCCATCACCTCCCCACGGTCCTTAGATGCAAAAGCAAAGCTGTACTAGCGATGCCTGGTCCACGCAGATCAAGGCTGAGCACCCTAACTTCACTGGCCACTTTGTGACACACACATGCAGGCTTGACCAGGCTGAAAAAACATTCAAGAAACCAGATTGGGACACAGGATGTCCACGACCATGTCCAGCCGGGCAGTGAGAGTGCCCAGAAGTGAGACCCACTTCGAAGCCTGGCAAATTGACCCACAGCAGCTCTCCACAGGGCTCTGCAGCGTGGCTAATTATTCAGGGCTTGTGTAGTCCAGGAGGTCCAGGCCATAGTGGTCGTCTCAGGCAAGATGGGGTCATGACAGCATCGGGCTTTGATGTTCAGCGGTGCTACGCCTCACCAATGGATCAAGTTGCTGCGTGTCGCTGCGGGCTAGTGACTACTAGTGTGGCAATCGTCGCCACCAATTGGCCTGAAATGGTCTGTTTGGGGTTCCATTGGACACTTGGGTTTCACCATGAAGTCCACGGATATGCAATCTCATGACTCAGGCGACTCAGGCTGCAGCAGAAGGCACTGTGAACTGGTGGTCGTCTTCCTGGAGGCGCCGCCCCCAAACAAGCGTTTTAAGGCGATTTCGAAAACAAAAACACCACAAGCAAACACGAAAGCTGCACACAAAGGCTGAAATGGCGTGTGACGGCAGCACCAGTTTCCACAAGAACTTCTGTTGCGGGAAAGCCACTAACAGCTTGGAGCCTGCTCGGAGTGTTGCCTTCACAGCACCTGGCATGCGGGCAGGCAGGGCTGGTGGTTCGCATCGATACCCCCGAAAATTATTTTGCTTCGAACATCCCCACCCTCTCTGGGTAGAGATACTCGGCGCTGGGGCTGGGCACTCCAGGCACTCCAGGACACTCTGGGGTTGGGCACTCCATGAGCGAGGAGTAGACCGGGCGAGGAGAAGAGTTCCGAGCCAAGAGAAGAGTTGAGTTTAAACTCTAACCAACCCCACGCCGAGGGTGGGGAAAAACACGATGTGTCAAATCGCAGGTTCGAGACAAAGTGCCACATTGAGGTTCTCAGGTGCCAGGAAAGGTGAGGCTTCACGGGGGTGCTATGGAGTGCTCTGCACGCTCATGGACTGGTATCTGTGGTGCCTTCACGTCGGCAGCGCTTGGTGGGCTCGTTGACGCCATGAGGTCCAAGCCAAGCCACGTAGTCCTGGGCTCTGACCCTGACCGTACGGTCTCCTCTAGAGACTCTAGAGGCCCATCGGTGAAGCCCAAGTTGGTGCTTCGCTGATCTGAACTTCGGCCCGGCTTCTGCTTCCCCTCGGTTGAGTCAAGCTTCCCCGCGGAAGCTGCGTTGGATGCCCCGTCCATCTCCGCCACCGCCCAATGCTCCTCAGACGCGTGCCAGGTACGAGGGGCAGCAGTACGAAAGTGCCGAACAGAAAGGTTACCATTCGAAACAAACCGCTGCGGACTGTTTAAACATGTTTAGACTCCCCAGTTCAAGAACATTGAGGCTACAGTCCGAATAATCCAAAATGATTCCGCTGACCCTAAATAGGAGTCCCACAATGTCCCAGAAATCTCCCCAAGAACCGATAAACGCATAGCAAACCGTGGTGCATCCCCAAAACCCTCGTAAGCAACAAAGCCAAACAACTCCCATCGCCCAAGTCCTGGTGCCATACCTCCATCGGCGAAGAGCCCCAAAGAAGCCTTTCGCAAGGCCGCCGCAGTGCCGTCGCCTTCTGACAACCCTGAAAGCAGCTTCTGTTTGGCCCAGTTAGCCCTGCAGGCTTCAGGTCTTTGAGACTGTAGGGCGTGGGGTCTAATCATAAAGTAATAAAGCCTGGGGTCGTTTCGAGCACAGCAGATGATGTAGTGCATTGTGGCCACACTCTCATGATCCAAGATATCCAAGCGACCTAGGAAATTCGAGATCACGCAGACACCCGACCGCGTGAAGTCCTGACAGTGCATGACGCATAAGAAAAACTGCATACTGCTGAAATTGCTTCCATGTGCTGACGGGTGACCTCGCCAGAGCACATGAAGCAGAACATGCTATACATAAAGGGGGGAACCATGCATATGTATACGTATGTATATATATATATATCTACAAATATATATATATATACATATGTTTATACATGTACGGTTTCGAAGCTCATGAATCAGTAGTCGTGCCCCGGGACCTAAATGACATCTCCAGGAACAGCTTAGGACGTGGTTGGACACTGGCCTCGCGCAACGAGATCGGCCAAGTTCTTGGCTCTTCTCGCTTTGCCAGCTGCTTCCTGCCTCAAGGCTGAGGTGAGTCCCCAAAATTCCTTCTGCATGCTCCAGCCTTCTGGTTCCTCATCATCTTCATCCATGCTGGAGCTGCTGCTCTGATGGTTGGCAAGGATGACTGGGTTCTAAGTTCTAATCAACTACACTTGACAAATGCTTGCTATAGAGTGGGCCAGGAATAGTTTTTCGACACGCACAGCAGTCGTGGCAGCTGTCCCTCGGCAATTTCTCTCTGAACAAGCTGCGAGATATTGCGATGAACTGTGATGAACTGGATCTGGGCAGACTGTGGAGGATACGCAGTGCGGTGCCAAGGCAGCTGACTTTTTCTAGCTGTCGGAATCCAGATCGAAGGCAGCATGCCCAGGCCTGGCAAGCGTGCTGAAAGGCTGTTCTGAACACAGCAAGCCAGTTATCCTGATCTATCATGCGAAAGGCCTTTCAGGGGCTGCATCCAAGGTGACCTCGACATCGCTGTCCTGCAGAGGAAGTGGCAATGTAGGGACTTTGCGCATTTACTTCGAGCACCTTCCCTTTGGGAGGGCAAGCTCTCAGGTTCCGCATTGACTGGATGCTGCGCGATTGTTTGACAGGACGGATACTAGCAACTAACGTCACAACTATCCATGACTATCTTTTTTTATTTTCAAAAGATAGAGGTAATTATGGACTTCCGCCCCGGAGCGCCTCGTCTGGAGCAAGTGCTGCTTCGTCCGCTTCTGCTTCGGCCGTCTTGGCCGGCTCCCTCGGATTCCTCCGTTTGGTTCTGGTTGGAGACGTAACCTCAGCATGCCAAAAGCTTCGGCTTGCTGATGCAGAGAAGTGGCACCGAGATGCACGCAGAGCTTGCAGCTCGTCTGAGCTCAGTCTCTGGGGCATTACCTGCATCACGGACAAGGAAATTCGTCTTTGAGAAAAGGCCCGTACTGGCCATGTCACTTGCAGCCTGTGCGCAAAAGCTCGAGCAGTGGGGCGCGGTGCTCCTTGCAACGTGCTGCTTGAAGCCCCAACAGGAATGAGAACTTCTTGATACCATTCCCAAACTGCGAAAGATGCACCTCGCACAACCCCAATGTCCTCATCGATATCGTCCAGCCCCTGCAGACTGGCCAAGGCCTGCCGTCCCGATAGCTTTCAAGTGATTTTCACCGTTGCTCCGTTGTGCAAGTGCACAAAACAACTCAGGCATGCCGGTCTCTTTTCTCACCGCGGCTGCGGCATCAGAAAATCACACGAGCCCGGCCTCAGAACATGTTGTCGGACCGAGCTGCTTCATGAATCCCCAAGTGAATGCATGACACATGCACACATTCCCAAACTTCTTGGTGCGCTACCACGTTATGACGTTAGCTATGTATGTATCATTCATACTTTGGGTGCAGAACACATAGTTTGGTGATCGAGATGCCGTGTGCATGATGCGTCGGGTCTGACGCACATGCAGATATAGTGCTTCTCCGCAGACACAACAGATGCTTAAACCACTTAGGTGCACCGCCTCGGCCTCCGTCCGAGAGGCATGGTCTTGAAGCTAGCAAATTTGAATTCTTTGGGAATGGGACCTGCCTGGACCCCCTGAGACTCCCTAAAAACGCAAGCCTAGTACGTCCCCCAAGCTCTCTTACGCTGCGCTGCTGGTGTGAGAATTCCGGTTTGTGTGTGTGTGTGTCTTCTTTCCTCAACCCGCAGTGGCTTAAGTTCACGAGGTGCTCTCCAAACCAGCAATGGTGATATGGATGAAGCCAACGCACAGCTTGTGTCCCACCGAGGCCTTCGGCCTGCAAGAGTTTGGCATCCTCAGGTACCTAATCCTCGTCCCAGCGTGTGCCCCCCTTTGAGGGTTTCTGCCTTTGACTGGGTGCCCAGTTCGGCCGAAGGGCAGGGGCAGGGGGTCGTTGGGGCTGGCTATAAACTCCCGCAACCTTCTTGACCTCCCTTCTCTAGCCTTACCTTTGTTGACACCCCTTTGCTCTATCCACCTCCGCTAAGAGCTGTGGAACCCCTTTCCGTCACTCCCCCCCAGGAACTGCTTCAGGTGCCTGAGTCCCTTCATACTCATTGTCATCATGTTTCAATGGGGCGGTCTTAGTTGGGCAAAGTGCACTAAAGGGAACCATTGCCCCTCCTGCCTATCCTGCCTCTGGTCTGTAATGTGTCGCCATAGAATGTTATACTGTTATAAAGGTCATAGAAGTTCAACAGTCGCATGTGTGTCCGACGCTTGCACACGACATGGACAAAAAACTGTCGAGCAAACAGGTCAGTCCAAGAAGATAAGTTTGGTTTGTCGGCAGACTCAACTTCGAGCCGAAGTATGTTTGCTTCTGTCTGTCAGAATCTAACTTGATGGTCCAAGTGGCTTCAGGCTGTGCTGCAGATCCCTCGCGAACTGTCGTACAGCGAAGCCGATGCTGCTGCATCGCGCCCGGTGAAGGCGCACCTCTTCCAAAACTTTGGTGCTGGATTGAGGCTCCTCGCCACCCGTGTTTTGCTGCTGCCAAGGCTCTGTTTCAGGATGCCCGAGGCATCGCTTCACCACCTTCCCTGGCCGACACATCTGCGAAAGCTGCTCTGTATCAACCCTGTGCTCAATCACGGAACGATTGTTGTAGACTCTAGCTGCGAGCTCTAGCTCGCCGATTTGGATGCCTTGCCTTCAGGCCCCTCTGCAACGCGGAAGAGCACCGCAGAAGCTGGCGCAGGGCAAGCACGGGGAGTGTGTCCCAATCCAGCAGAACCACTTGGGACCGTGGTGGATGATAACTAGCGCCATGGCGAGCCCTCGTTTTGTGCGCGGGGGGAGGGGGGAGGAGGGGTGCAAGTAAATGTTAACTAAGCTCTGGGTAGGGTTTAGGGTCGTATGGCAAATTGCAAAACCACAAAGAGACTCGATGCTTCATGAGCAGATTTTGAGGCCAGCATGAGTACTGAGCACTAGCCTCGCTCAAGGGTGGGGTCAGGAGGGGTAAGGCAGGGAGTGAAGATCATCCCACGAGCCCCCCCCCTAGCATGCACAGACCATCTTTATCTGCCGTGCCCCTTCTCTTTAAACCTAGATTCGGGTTTGCATGTGCAACGTATCAAAAAGCTCGTGGCATCTCGCTGCTTACGGTCTCCCTGACGAACCTCGCGCCTGGCGTCAAATCGCTACTATCCGACAGCGCCGTTTTCGGCACATTGAGGTCGGGACCTTGGCTGCTGGAGGACTGAATGCGGGATAATGCGGGCATCGCAGAGTCGACCCTGTCAGAGGCGCGGGCCTATACCAAGCAACGAAACCACGCCGGCTTCTACAACAGGGCTCCAGGCCTACCGATTCAGTTGCTGGAGCCAAAGACATCTTCTCGGGGGGTCTGGCGTAAAGCGAGCCTTGACGACACCGAAGAGCATTTTACCTCATGTCAGCATCAACTTCAAGTAGATCTGTGAAGCAACTTCGTTCCATGGCCGTGTGGAAACTTCTGCCACCCTTGCGCAACTGAAAACGGCACAAGCTAAAATTCCAGCTGCTGCAGCCACAGCACCCTCTGGTATTTCGCTCGGCGGAATAGGGGGACGCTCGTGATGGAAACAGGCCAGGAGATTTCCTGCAGATGCATATTGCAGTCAATTTGCAGAAGCAGTCCCAGTCGAAGGGAGCGATTCTACGCCGAACAGAACCTTACATCAATTGAACGCGGCGAAGGACCAGGAGCTTCTTCGCTGGTGCAATTGGTAGTCCTCTAAATTCTTCTAAGGGTGCCGCATCCTTTTGGGGACCAAACAGGGGGCCTACATAACTTCGAGACCTACCCAACTGTCTCCCAAAATGCAGGCCTGGCCATCCTTCAGGTTTTCTGAAGGTTAAGTCTTCCACTGCCATTGTCGCCTCCTGCCCGACGATGGGTTGTTCTGCCACCCAGGCCAAAGCACTGCAAGGACAATTTCAGAGGATGACATTCGCTGCACAGAAAGATGCACTTCACAACCGCTAGGTCTTACCTTTAACACGCCAAGTAACAGCCACAATACAGTCAGAGGATGGGTTTCGGGCTTAGGGCTTTTTGCCACCCGTGTAGCCATGCTCAGGTTTATAGGGTTTAGGGTTTTGTCCGGGTTTAGGGTTTGGAGGAAATTTCTGACAATCAATCCAGCCAGTTTCCGGCTGTGAATGAATGGTTCCGGCCCCGAGTCTACCAATTAATTCACTATCCCGTGACGCTCAATAAACGGTGCATGGGTCTAGCTCCTCGATGCTGCTCATAGTCACCACGGCCCTGACCTGGGACTGTAGAAATCGTGCTTTGCGAACCTTGGCTGGCGAAGGTCCAGGCTTCAGCGTGGTCACAAGTAGTCACAAGTGCCAATGCTTCTCAATGCCTCCGCCCCTCTTAGCTAAGAACATGATGGTCACAGGAAAACGAACCATGCGGGAACATCACTGCTCTTCTCGTGCCGTGTTGCCTGCCCGAAGCGACACAGGAGTGTCGTTAGAGCTGATTCTGATAAACCACGCGGCAGGTTCGCCTGGGGCAAAAGCTGCGGCGTAAGATAATGGAGCCCGGCCGTATTTCTACGCCCTGCATACACCATCACACCACCACCATCACACCACCACCACCACCACCACCACCACCACCACCACCACCACCACCACCACCACCACCACCACCACCACCACCACCACCACCGTCACGGTCCGTCACGACCACGACCACCACAACAGCAAATACAGCAACCACAGCAGCAGCAGCATCATCAGCAGCATCACGCCTTCCATGGTGACAGTGCATCCAAAAGCTGACAAAGCCCGTGCGGCCAGTGCATTGAAGGAGATGGTGGCATGAACGTCATCATTTGATGGATTGGCTAAGGCTGCTAAGGCTCAGGGCTAAGGATGACCTGGGAGGACATGAATCTCAAAGGGATGGATAGGGTCGACCCCAAACTGAACAACCCACCGCTTTGCATCTGGGCCTTTTGCAAACCCTGTTGTGAACCTGGAATGGCCATCTTGTAGACTAATTGATCGTCGACCCTATGCTGTACGGATGGTGATGAGGATGATGAGTTCCTGAGACATGCTTCACGCACATGCCGAGCGGCCAAAAGAACCTCAGTTGATGGAATCATCTCAACATGGTCCTCTTGATTTGGAGGATCCATCCGGGTCGAATCGTCATACTCCTCAGCATCACTGACGAAAACAGCGTGAAGAGTCCTGCGCAGATCCTGCAAAAACGCCTGGCACCTCTGTGCTGTCAGGCATCATTGAAAAGCTCCTGCTGGATATCCGGATGCAAGCAGGCCAACCAGGCACTGGTTGCAGAGTCCAGCGACCATGTCTTGCAGAAGAAGTCCAGGCCTGCCCATCACTTGTGTTGACTTTTACCGGCTGCCGTGAACCCCAAATCAGTGGGGCTCATTGACAATGGCGCATGCGATGGCAGCGTTTGAGGGCACCTGGATGCTCGTCGCGCTGCGATTGCGCCTCGGCTCCTTCAGCTCCTTCAGCTCCTTCAGCTCCTTCAGCGCCTTCAGCGCCTCCAGCTCCTTCAGCTTCCCAGCCTTCCAACCATGACAGCCTGGCAGAATTTATGGGACACATGCCCGCTTGCTTTAGTGAGTGTGCGTAAAGCAGAAGAAGCGGCAAAGTGAAAATGCAACCAACCCGCTGCGGCGTTGCCGTCGGTTCTGGGCTAACTGGCCCAGATGGCTCGGGGGCATCCGCAAATCTCACGCGGCCTGACGAACTGTGCAGTGAAGAAAGCGCTTCAGGCAGCAAAAATGACAAATTAGAAGGAGATGCACAGCATGTGCCCTGGCCAAGCCACATGCTTCTTGCTGCGCCCTCTGCGGGACCCAGGCTACCTGGAACAGCACTTTTGACCAAAGGGGTGGCGGCTGACCTGAGCTGCTGCACGTGCAAGCCACGGAAAGGAGCAACTATAAAAGCACAGACAGGCTTGAGAAACCTTCTGCACTTGTGATCACATCTTGGTATTGTTTCTCTGCCGGCCAGGCACCCTCCGGAAAGGGCATCTCGCTGCGATGGACAAACAGGTCGGGTCCGCGCTTGAGAGGCCGAATGAACCCGTGGCCCTGTGCTGACAAGAAGTCTTGGAACTCGGGCAAGAGGGGACAGGAGTTGTCAGGCGTCGGATCACAGGGACTTGATTGTACACTGCAGGGCCCTTTCGCCTAACAGAGAGCTTGCCTCAGTTCGCTTACTAGTTTGCACGTCCGCCCGAAGCAAAAAGGACGACACCCGCCTGCTCCTCCTTCCAGTGATGGATAACACCCTCAAGATCCACTCCTTCGTCAAACCTGACAGGAAATCTCCGCATGCTCTTTTTTGGCAGATCTGGGTATCAGTGAACTGGGCCACCTGAAGCCCTGCTTCAACGCATTCTGGTCTACCTTGGTCACACGAAAGGCGGCTGCTGTGCCGGGAAGGTCACCGATGAGACTCTGCACAGGGATGTTTTACTTCCGGGACCTCTGTCTAGCAACAAACTGAACAGCATCAGAGGCATCGTCAGTTGAAGCACTGCTTCCACACTAGCTTGTTTTCGGGTTGGTTGTCGATAACTCTGAACCGCTGCACAATGACATCGTCTCAGCCATGTGATGATTGATGATGCTCGGTGGTTTTTGAAGCCATACATGATTGCTTGCACCTCTATACTCTACCGTTCTCTACATGCGGTATGCACTCGTCCCGCTGGAGTTATTCCTGCATCGAGGCAATTCTCCAAGGCACCAAGGTGGGCTTGAGGTGCAGTTCTTGGCCACTGGCAGTCGTGACTGGCAGGCCAGCGATCCTGAGCAAGCAGAGGGAAGAGTCAGAGAATGTCAGAGATGACAAGAACTGAGGAGACCCGAACCTCAGGTTTCATGGCACATCACTAGCTACTACTAGTACTCACCCCCCTGGCCCAGACGACAGCCGAGGAAATGGAGAAGACTCTGCTCCAGAGGATCCAACTTGTTGGCCAAGCAGCTTCTTCATGGCGTTCTGGGCATGACTGAGATCACCATACCGGCAGGTCACGCTGCAAGCTTCGTCCCCTTCGCTCGCTGGGCTGTGAAAGTACACGGTTGGCCTCACCAAGGCCATCGACTTTAAATGGTCGTCACATGTCGTCACGCACACTTGCCCTTAAATTGATGTGGCTGCAGCCTGGCCACAGCTCCTGCATGTCGATGCCTACTGATTTATGCAGATTGAGGATGTCTTCCTTGGTGTAGTTCACTGGGACATTTTGAACCTCGCAAGCGAAGGTTGCGATCTCAGTGGGGGAAGGCATGCAATTGAGACGTCTGGACCTGCTGCCAAGCTGCCGAAAGCTTTCCCGAAGTCCCGCTGTCTGACTCTTTCTTTCCCACTCCCGCCTGCATTGTTACAATTGGAATGCTGGGTGTTTGTTGTCAGCCAAGGCGCCCAAACCCTCGGACCGCAAAGTCCCCTATTTAATGGGCGCATATAAAGCCTAAAGTAGGACTTGGACCATGTGCACCATGTACACAAAATCGGTAGCTCCCCCGTCTCATTTTTGAAGCCCGCATAGGGTGCCGACAGACCTAGCACATACCATCGTGGCGCATTCGAAGTTCTCAATAGAACGCTGAAGCTAAACAAGCTAGCTTACACCTGGACTGTGTGCGCAGTGTAGTATACCGTGTACCATCAGGTGCCATCGAGCATGTATTTGAAGTTTCTGGGTTGAGGCCACTGCTCTAGGAAAAGTAAGCAATGTGTCCTGCTGCTTAGAAGATGTCATTTTGGCAAGGCTTCAAATGCCGCGCCCGAAGCATCCCCCAATGGTCCCCCAACGTACAATCGCCACTTTGTACCATCACAGAAAACGTTACTGACAACCGGGGGACAGGGGGAAGGGGGAAAAGGGGAACGGGGGAACGGTGGAAAGGGGAAAGGCGCGGCTGCCCAAAAACACGTCTCGACAAAGGAAGCACGCCATCAGGCAACATCGCGAAATCACATGAAATTTCTTGGTTGAAGACGCTGCTCTAGACTCCTTCTGTTGGTTGAAATAAGCCGCAGCCGTTTAAATTTCTAATGAAGCTGCCATCTGCTGCTCGACAGGCGGTGACTCAAAACGACTGTGTGCGGCACCCTGTTACATACGTCGCGCCCCACTATAACCATGTCGCGGGCTCGTCGAGGAGGCTTCTCTACAAGGCATGATGAGCGGCTCAGAACATGCCAGAGAACGCTCCTATGCTGCAAAAGGGCACCCCGGGCTCGTTACGTACCCTGGACTTCTTGAGCCATAACCACATTTCAGACTGGTATTTTGACACGATGTCATGTGCCCGGCCCCAAAAGGCTCAACCGTACACTGCTGTGCACGCCGTGTATCGCTCTGTGCATATAACACGTGTGCCACATTCCAGTGCTGAGCACCAAGTGCTGACATTAACATTCACGTCACTACATAGTTTCAGTATCGGCAAAGCTTCAAACTCCACCAGACGTACACCTGTACGGCGAGTCCCCACTCGGTTGCTCCCGCCCAAGTGGCAATTCTCGATATAAACATTTCCCCTAGTGTGGCTTCCCCTGTAGCCCCGCACAGAAGCATGGGTAAAAGAAGAGATCTAGAGAAACAAGAACTGGAACTTTCGGGCGGACCAGAGCGACCATCGACCCGATGCCACGCAACGGTCAAACATGTGGCCTGCTCTAAACCCTCCTTCTCCTTCTGCTGAGGCTGCGTATCTCGCCAGTTGTTACCTCGCCAGCCTAGCAGATCTAGCAGCGGACAGCGAAGGCTGCGAGTCAGTGTCTTCAAGCCTCACGTACTCTCTAGCCACTGAGTCGCCGCTGGCACCGTCCTAAGCAAGAAATGCCTGCCGGAAGCACATACATTGGAGCTCACTGGAGCTCACAAGTCAAGCTTGCATGCCTCGCCCCGTAAGCCAGCAACTCCCCTACTACTGCGACTACTTGCTCCCAGTATCTCCCCTCGCAATCCCCAGGCCTCTGTCAGACTTGTCCCACGAGCTCTCGGACCAACTCCAGGACCTCTTTGACCAGTCCCACTCCTCATCTTTGGCCCACTTCGTCTTCCAGCTTCCTGACCGTCCTGACCAGTCCTTTGCCCGCCAAGTACTGTCATCTTTGGCCTGACAAGGCAACACGCAGCTCCGACATGGTCCGCCCAACGATGAACTGCGGAGACAACCATTTGTGGGGGGGGGGGGGGGGGGGCACTTTCGCACTTTCGGCCTGCGTCTGCTGCTGCCGAGGCGATCGACTGCGCGCCGCAGCCGCCGCCCCTGGCTCCAAAGGCGGTACCCCGCACGGCACATGCGCATTCTCATGATTCATTCCCCGCCTTGGAAACTGGCCGCTGCCCTATAAACAACCGGTGCTCCTGCAGTCGCCACGGCACAGGCGTGTGGTGGGCCATAACCTATTCTAGCCCTGCGTGAGCTCGTCTACTTCTACGCCTCTGCTCGTTCTCAGAAGGTCTCCACGCCTCGCCCCAGGCCCTTGCCCGCCGCGGTCACTGCACGACCTCCGTGTTCTCTGTCGGTCTCTGTCTGTCTTTTGTGGGAAGCCCCCGAGCATCCTTGCCTGCCCCTGTATTCGGGGCTGTAGCCGATGGAGCCGGGGAGGTTCTCCCTTGAACACACTCCCGCTCTCTCTCCAGGGCTCTCCCTCTCTCTGTCTCTGTCCCTGTCGCTGTCCCGCTCCCCCTCCCTCTCACTCTCCCTCGCTCTGGCTCTCGCTCAGGCTCTGGCTCTCGTTTTTTTTCTCTCCCTATCTCTCTCTCTCTCTCTCTCTCTCTCCCACACGCATAACCCCCCCGGAGGGAGGCTGCCAAAAGGGGTCTCTCTCTCTCTCTCTCTCTCTCTCTCGCTCGGATTGGCAAAATCCAACGAATGAAAGTCGTATGGTACGAAAGCTCATATCAACCTTCTCTGCCGCGTGCCAGCCTTGGAATTGCGCTGGCCCTTGCAAGATCCTGCGAACTGAGCGGCGATACAGCTCTCAGAGACGGAAATCGAAACTTATCATTTGCAAACCGCGTAATCACGTGACATCGTGTGCCACGGTACGTCAACAGGGCTTCTGAAAAGCTAGTCAGATTTTGGGCGTCCTTGGCGGCCGAATCCTGGACAATTCCAGGTTGAAGACTGGCTTGGAGGAGGGCCGCGCCATGGGAAATCATCA